GGGCATGACCTTGGTACTGACCAAATAAGTAGGCTTCTAAAGTTGACAGTGAAAATAATTGAGAATAATCTTAGTCAAAGAGACTTTGCCAGTTACCTTTTATGTCAGACTACTAACCCAGATGAGACAATTAAAAGTCAGTGAAGCCGAGCACAGTGGTGCACGTCTATAATCCCAGCACTCAGGAGGCTGAGGCAGGAGGATCCTGGGAGTTCAAGGCCAGCCTGGGCTACCTAATGACACTTTGGCTTAAAAATTTAAAAGTCAGCGAGAGCTCCATTCCTTATATCCAAACTAACAGGAAATTCTGTCGGGCTGGAAGTGCAGCTCCATGGTAAAGCACTTGCCTAGCATGTGCAAGGCCCCAGATTCCATTCCCAGCACTGGAAAAAAAGAAAGGAATTCTCCCACCTCTTAGCAAGGTGATGACTGGGAAGGCGCTCGTGTCTCAGAGGAGAAGTAAACAGACACCCGCAGTGTCTGTAATAGGAACTGCATGAAAAGGCACTGCTTGCCTCCACGCCGAGTCACTTAGCAATGCTTAGTGCCCTTAGGAGATGAATGAGCAGAGAGTTCACTCCAGGCAGAGGAGGGCTGCACAGGACTGGCTTAGAGATCATGCAGCTGAACAGCCCATGTGCCTCCTTCCTGCCCCTCACACCTTAGGGTCTGTTGTTCAGAGACCACGAAGAAGTCAGAACCGGAAAGGCCTCATGGTGGGTGGAGGGTAGTGTGCAAGTGTGGCCTGAAACAGCGTAACCTAAGCCTGGGGCCTCGCTGTCCTTTGGGGATGAATTAGCGACAGTGTATTAAGGAGGAGGATTTGTCGGGCACGTTTGGTGGCACACGCCAGTAACGCCAGCATTTGAGAGGCTGAGGCAGGAGGATTGCTGTGAGTCTGAGACCAGCCTGGGCTACAAAGTGAGTTCAAGGCCAGCCTGAGCTGCGTAGTGAAACCCTGTCTCAAAAACAAGACAAAAAAAAAAAGAAAAAGATGTGCTGATGAGTGGCCAGCAGAGGGCCTCGCACCAGAGGGACTCCATCAACATCCCTTCAAGCAATCAGTCGTCTCTACCATTGTTCGTAAAGTGAGCCCAGGACCCTTCTAAGGTGTTTGTGGTTGTTTCTGATGCTAGTGCAGAGCAAGCGTAGACACCAGTGGGTTCAGAGTTACCAAGATGACTGAACTGAAAATGGCAGGCCTCAGGCTGACGTTTCCTTCACGGCCTGCGCTGTCCCTAGGCGTGGCCTTGGCCCCGAGAGGCTTCAGTTCTGGTAAGGAAACTGCTAACCCGGCTGCCTCGCAGCCTCAGGGGAGGTCTCCTGTGTGGGTTTCACAAGCTTCCAGTCTCGCTGTCTCTTGGGCTGGTTTAGTTGCTTGTTTTCGACTAGGAGTGTTTTGTTCATTTGCTGCTAGGATGAAGTGGAAGGATGCGGTGTGCTGGGACGAAGTCTCTTGGACACTTCCTTTAGGAGGAAGTCGGGGGAAGATAGAAATATAGAAAAGAACAAGTAAGGGGCCAAGGTTGTCGGTCAGCGTTGGGAGTGCCTGCCTAACATGCCCAATGCCCTGGGTCTCATCTCAGCAGTAAAAGAAAAAGAGGGAGTCAGCACTTGGGAGGCTGAGGCAGGAAGATCGCCATGAGTTCAAGGCTGGTCTGGGCTACATGGCGAGACCCTGTCTCCAAAAAAGAAAAGAAGGAGGGCAGGCAGGCAAGAAAGCAAGAAGGAAGGGAGGGAGGGAGGGAGGGAGGAAGAAAAGACAGAGAAGGGGGCTTGCCTGGGTTCTCTGTTCTCTCCTTGCCAGCCAGTCCACCACCGGCTGGGTCCTGGGGCAGCGCCAGCTGAGAGGGGCTGGGCCTAGAGAAGGTGGTGTCTATGCTGGCCACAGGCAAGGAGGATACGTGAGAGCACCCTCGATTTAGGAGGAAGAGACCCAGCTTCAGGTCCTACCCTCCCCGTCCCGTCTGCACCTCTCGAAGGTCTGGGGGGCGGGGTGTGCACCCCTCTTCCTGGCCTGGCATTCTGGGTGGACCTTCCCCAGCCGCATCAGGTTAGAGCCCCACGGGCTTTGGGGAGGGGAGCTCTTAGTTCATGGTAGGAGAGGCAGATTTGGAGCTTAGTTCCGGCCCTGCTAAGTTTCCCTCCTCCGAGCCTCAGCCGCTCACTGAGAAGCAAGGAGGCTGGCGCTGTGCAGCCACTCTAGACCCAGGAAAAGACCCTGCTGTGCTCCGCAGCACGCTGGCAACCGGCGAAGCGCAGAGCACTTTATGATGATCCTCTGCTGCCCTTTGAAACTGCGTGACGCACACCACCTGCCCCCAGGTGTCAGCGTGGCCGCTGCTGGGAGCGGCCAGCACCAACCCCCCTTCGGAAGGCCGCATCCCTGCCGGGGAAGAGGTTTAGCCTATGGGCAGGGTGTGGAGAGACCTGGCGAGCACAGAGAGGGGAAGGCGGGCACAGCCCAGGGAGACACAGGACCAGGTCTGGGGAGCAGGGAAGAGCTGAGCCGGGTCTGGAGACTACGGAAACGTTCTGAGACATGATCAACAAGGTGCACTGGAGAGACACGGGAACTGTCACCCTAGATTTAAATGTTTTCCCCAGAAGCTTACCGACGTCTCTGCACTGCTCTTAAGACTAGTGGACCAGATCGTCTGTTTTTCACATCTCCATAAAAGGCAAAGAAATCACCCTGCAGGTCAGAGCCCCATGCCTGGCTCGCACGTCACTTCAGGTACCAGGCTGGTGCGAAAGTTGCGCCTGAGCACTTCCGCCTTCCCTTTCCCTGGGTGTTCGCTCCGATCATAAAAGTAGTGCGCATCTGTTATCGACGTCTTGGGGCCTAAAGAGGAAAGTGGGGCTGGGGATGTGGCTCAGTGATGGAGCATGCACAGGCTCGGAGTTCAATCCCCAGCACCACCAAAAAAAAAAAAAAAAAGAGAAAGGACAAGCCCTGTGGTATCTTCTGTCCATCTCTCACAGGGATCCCCCTTCTGGCCTGTCACATACTTCCTTTTGTCTGCTGTTAGAATAATGCCTTTTTTTTCCTTTTCTTTTTTAATACTTGCTTCACCTGATATCTACTTTCCCTGATTCCTCAATATTGTGTTACATGAAAGCGTGCTGTGTGTCAGGACGGGTGTGCAAGGAATGTGGTCTGCATAAAAGAAAGAAAGGCTGCCGGGCATGGTGGCACACGCCTGTAATCCCAGCACTCGGGAGGCTGAGGCAGAAGGATCGTTGTGAGTTCGAGGCCAGTCTGGGCTACAAAGTGAGCTCAAGGCCAGCCTGAGCTGCATAGGGAGACCCTGTCTCAAAAAGACAAAAAACAAAACAAAACAAGAGAAAAGACTGCACTTGGTGGTGTTAGAAGTGAGAAGCATGCGCAGCACACACCCAGGCACCTGCTTGGTTTCGGGTGAATACTGCCTGCCTGTCGTGTCTCAGTCCCTCGCTGATGAATATTACGTGTAACGTCAGTCTCGCGGAGTGGCGGGGTTGTTTGTTGACGCTGTATTTGGGGGTTTATCCAGGTGTCTTGAGCCTCAAAACAGACGCTACGCTCTGACACTAAGAAGGCTAACAGCAGGGCAGCTGGAAGGAGAATTTTTGAGGAAAGAAGCCGCTCTCCCTCCCCCACCCCCAGGCTCCAGCCAGTCCGAGTCAGGTGCACTGAGAACACGGCTCTGATCAGCGCGTAACGCGCACCGGCAGCTTGCGTTTCGAAGTTGTGCGGTGGATCAGACTCTCTGCGCGCAAAGGGCCGCGGGAACGGGAAAGGGCTGAAAGAAAGTGCGGGCCCTGTGCGTCCCCCCTGCAGCGTGGGACGGCCTCCCCGCAGCGCTGTGTCAGCCTGGCCTCCTGCCCCCGCTCCGCTCTGCCCTGCGCCACCCGCTCCGCTCCGAGGCCTGTGGCTCGCGGGCGGCGCTGTCTCGTGTGTGCCCCCTGGTTCTGTGATGGTCCCTTGCCCAGCTCCTCTCCCTCTTCCTGGAGGGGCTGGAGACGTCTCTCCACACTGTCCTCTTGTGAGTTGCTGGCACGTCCTGTCAGCCCGCCCCCGCTCGGTCTTGCAGTCCGCAGTGTGACGGCTTCCCCCTGCTGGGACGCTGGATCCCTCCCCTGCACGGAAGGGCCAGGAACAAAGGGGTGGCCGTCACGTGGGCGGGGTAGGGACACTGGCCGGTAGGGTCGCCTCTGTGTGTACACGTTTCCCCCAAGCAGTCCTGGGACATGTCCCGGCCCATCTTCAGGCGAAGGTGCTGCTTCCACAGACTCAGTTTCCATGTGTGGGCGCAGCAGCTGAGGGTGCCGGCCCCTCCCGGCCTCCAGACTCATCCACACATAGTTTAACCTCAAGCCCAGGTGTCCGTGATGCCATCAGAGGATGTTTCGCTTAGGTTTGGTTGGTGACCTCAGATTACCACCTGCACACCTAGAAGCAACGCTGGCCACATAGTACAGTCTGTTCTGCAAGGTAGGCAGGCCTAGCGGGGGGCCTCGGGGGTTTTTGAGAAGGAAGCCCAACGGCCGCGGCCACAGTCCGCTAACGCCCAGGCGTCCCCGCCCTCCCAGTAAGGGCGAGGAGGGAGGCGCGTCCCCGCTGGGCGGCAGGCCGCGGAGTGTGACGGGACGCGTGCGCCTTTGGAGGAGCCCACCATCCCCTGTGCCACGTGCCCATGTCCCGTCCGCTGCCCTCACCGGGGCCTGCTCTTGTTCAGTCCCCATGCTGAAAAAAGGACTTAATTCATTTGTAGACTTTGTTTCCCCTGTTTCTGCTTCTCCATTTCTTGTATTTTTTTTCTTTTCCTCCTGTTGTTCCTTTCTCACCTTTTCTGCTTTTTGTCCTCTGCTTGTTTTTTGTTTCACCTTTTCCACGTCCAAATTCCTGCTCCTCCTCCTCCTCCTCCTCCTCTACCTCCTCCTCTTTTTTTTTCTCTTCTTTTTTTTGTCTTTCTCCATTTCTTCCTCTCCTCTTCCTTGTTTGGTCCTTTTTGAAGTTGAGCCCAGTGGCGGGACTCCACGGCGTAGACCTCTCTCCTTCTGCCCTTGCTGTGTCCAGGAAGGTAACGTAACCTCGTCCCCCACACCCCCACCGCCTCGGCGGGGTCGTGGCCCAGTTAGACCCACAGGGAGCCAAAGCCCAAGTGTTGCTCCTTCCTTCTCTGACACGTGACAGTCCTTTCCAGAATGTTCCGAGTATGTGGCAGTTTCTTACAAGGCACAGTATCCCTTTGACTGTCTCAGGGGCACTGGGTACAGAGGGCAGCCGAGGCCTCCAGGCCCGGCATCTAGAGGCTGCAGACGGCCCTGCGGCACTGCCTGCACTCACAGCCGGGGCCCGTGTGCCTCAAGTCCACCAGACAAAGGGGCCGGGCACGGGGAGGTTCTCCCACCGGGGCGGCCATTTGTACTGACGGAGTCAAGGAATACTGTCCTTACAAAGACTGGTCTACACAAGCGCCCCAAGTTCTTTGCCAACACAACCACAGAAAGCAAACTTTTCTACCCCGTGTCTTGCTGAGTGTGTTTTGTTTTCGTTTTGTTTTTAAGTTTGTCTGATTTGAAGTCTGTTGTGGTGATAAGATTGTCTTTGGCAAGGCATGTGGAAAGGGGCAGGGGGAGTGTGGCCATGACTAACCCTCGCTAACCTCCTCCTCTGCTCTCCATGGCTCTTACATTGACCTCACCCACCCCGCCACATCCCTGCTCATCGCTGTGACCGGGCACCGCCATGGCTCATGAGCGGCGCCCAGATGTCCGGGGGCGGGGGGCTCTGTCTTTACACCGGGGAGGCGGGCAGGAGGGCGAGCCGCGCCGAGCAGCTTGCATGCCTCGGGCTCCATCCTCATGGCCATGCGGGACACTGTGCAGCAGAGACGCTCGGAAGGGATGCGTGGAACCGAGCCAGGACCCAAGTCTGTTGGAGTGGGCGGGGAGAGCTCAGGCCCCAGGCACGCAGGCAGCACGCACAGAGCAGGCTGGACAGGCCGCGGTTCTGTCCCCAAGAGCAGGGCGTGGGCGGGGCACCCCTCGGGGCGCAGCTGCATGCGCAGACACTAACCCTCGCTTGTGTGGACAGCACCGTTTCTGCCTCTCAGAGCGGGCCACCGACTAAAAACTCACTGGCCCCGGCCTCACGCATAAGCAGACATGAGCTTTGACTGGCTGGAGTGCGAGAGGGTCAGGTGGCCGTGCACAGGCAGGAGCCAGGGACTGCCACCTCAGACGCCCCTGCCCCCAGACGTAGTCCAGCCAGCACCTCAGCACATGGAAGGGACTTGGACAGATTTTCCAGCCCAGCACCTCTTAACCCAGGGCCTGTGGCTGGGCTTCAGGGAGTTTATGGACCCACCAGAATTCTTCGTAAAATTCTTCGATATCAGGCTGGGGGTGTGGCTAGTGGTCAGCATTTATCTAAACTGACAAAGCCCTAAGCTCCATCCCTATACCATAAATAAATAAAAACAGTGTGTACACATTTTTCTAGGAAGAATCCTTAGCTTTCATGAGATTCTCTAAACAGTTTGTGATCCAAGAATATTAAAGAACCACTGACTGTCTTTCAGCCAGGACCACGCATTTGCCGTAAGCATCTTCGTGCTCCAAGGACAAAGGAGTTTTGGTTGCTCCTTGGGTAGTTTATTCCTTGCGAAGCTCTTCATCCTCCGGCTACAGTTAAGCCTGGACCCAGCCACTCCTGGTGGAAACTCAAGGCCCGACCACGTGCTGGGTCAGGGCAGCCGGAGTCAGCAGGAGGCACCAGCACCGCTGCTGGGGTTAGAACAGAGCCACAGAGCAGGACATAGTCACCTCCTCTTCCAGGGTCCGCTGGTGAGAAAGCGGATAGCTACCCAGGATGCCCTGCGCCTGCCACGCAGGACCCGGTAGCTTGTTCGCCGGGAAACATGGCAGGCGACGTATTAAGAAGTGGCATCTTCCTGCCAGGCCCACGTGGGAGCACCCGTCTGTAATCCCAGCTGTGTGGAGACTGAGGCAGGAGGATCACAAGTTCAAGCCTAACCTGGGCAACTTAGGGAGACCCCGTCTAAAAATAAAAAGGGCCTGGGGAGGAGGTTCAGTGGCAGAGGGCCCCTGGGTCCAATCCCTAGTACCACAGTGGGGGGAAATGGTGTCTCCTGGTCAGGGTATAAAGCAGTGATGAGCTATTAATCGTAGTGACCCTAGAGAAAGAATTGGGTTAAATGATTGTAACTTTAAAGAACACAGTGTTCAGGCTGGGTATACAGCTCACTGGTAGAACACTTGCCTAGCGTGTAGCACGCAAGAAGCCCCAGTTTTGACCCACAGCACTGAAAAAATTGTTTTTCAGTTTACATTTGCCCTGTTCGTTAGACTGGTTTTCTCAAAGGAGGCCTAGTACATGGCAAGGGCCAAGTAAATACTAAGTGAATGAAAAACGTAGGTGGGGGCTGTGGCAGCAAAGCAGTTTATAACATACGGGAAGAAAACCCCGCTGAGCAGGAAGGTCCCAGCAAGCCTGTGAGGAAGAACAGTCCCCACCGGCCAGGGTTACTGCGGGGGTGAGGGCAGCGCCTGGGCAGGGCAGATAGAAGGCATATGCTCCGTGAGACCCCGGGGAGGCACCATGCAGGGGCTGTCATTCTCTGCCCCTCCCCGCAGGCGGTAGGCAAACTTCGGACCTGGCTTGGGAGTGTTCCGGCAGCATCTTGCTCGGCTCTCTTTGCACATTTGCCCCAGTGTGATGACTCCCCCTGGGCTGGGGTAGGCAGAGCCGGGTCCCGCAGCCTGACACTCGGCCTCTCTTGGCAGGCATGGGCAAGAAGGATGACCCCAAGCTGATGCAGGAGTGGTTCAAGCTGGTGCAGGAGAAAAACGCGATGGTGCGCTACGAGTCGGAGCTGATGATTTTGTGAGTAGGCGGAAGCTGGGGGCCGGGCTCCGGGGGGGATGGCGGCAGCGCTAGGCCTGCTCCAGCCCTGCCTTGGTGCGGTGTCGGACTCACTGTCACTGTCTCCCTCCTGTCTCAGTGCCCGGGAGCTGGAGCTGGAGGACCGGCAGAGCCGACTGCAGCAGGAGCTGCGAGAGCGCATGGCGGTGGAAGGTAGGTGCAGGCGGCCGCCCAGAGGCGGGGTGGGCTGCCCGCTCCTAGACGGCTCACGCGATGCCCTCGGCTGCTCTTGCAGATCACCTGAAGATGGAGGAGGAGCTGTCCGAGGAGAAGAAGATCCTGAACGAGATGCTGGAGGTGGTAGAGCAGAGGGACTCCCTGGTGGCCCTGCTGGAGGAGCAGCGGCTGCGGGAAAAAGAGGAAGACAAGGACCTGGAAGCCGCCATGCTGTCTAAGGGCTTCAGCCTGAACTGGTCCTGAGCTCTCGCAGGTGCACCGGCTTGTGTGTTGGCATCTGCCTGCCAGCCTTGCCCGACCCCCGGGGCTGGGGGCCAGCATCCGAGGAGACTGGCGCCGCCTGGAGTCCACATTCAGGGCCACGTTCTTGTGTGCTGTGGGAAAGCCCCCCGGCTACCATGGTTACCTGAGGAGAGTACCTTCCGCCTGCTGGGAGGAGCCCACCGGGAATTCACGCTTGAGACGGGGACGCTGCACAGCCCTGAGGGTGCTGCCTGGCGCCCCTTCCTTTGGCGGGAGCGTTTGGTGAAGAAGGAAGCTGCTCCCGCTCTTCGAAGCCCCCACAGCCACGGAGGGCGCTCTGCGGGGCAGTGCGGCTGCTGTCTGCACACTTCCTGAAGCACCACCAAAGAACGGAAAGACGCCCCGCAGAAGCAGGCCGTAGACAGCGGCCAGCAGACTGCCAAGGCCGGGCGGGGCAGTGCCCAAGCCAGCATCGCAGGGGAAGCCGAGGGGTGGCCGCCTCCGAATTCATTATGCAAGTTAGGAGGAAGCAGGAGCGGTCACCCCAGCCCCTCCCGCACATTGGCCCGCAAGTGGCCAACGCCCCAGGCCTCTGCTCTCACTGGCCACAGCCCGAGGCCTGTGGATTGCTGCATTTTTGCTTTTAGTTCACAACCATTTTGACACTGGAAAGAACTGATTTTGAGGGCTGGGGGAGGCACTCCGCGTCAGGCCCCCTGCTGACGGGCAGTGTCGGTGTTCAGCGCTTCCCAGGGCGGGCGGTTAGCCTCCGCCCCGGAGCTCTTCCTGCGTTTGCACATTGAAAAGCAGCTGACGACCTGGCACGATGCTCAGCCACTTCGGACCCTTTTTTGGCAATTAACTTATTTTTTTAATACTTGAAAAGAAGCAACTTCATTTTTATATCCTTACTAGAGACACTGATCACCTGGCACCTGCGCGTAGGAGTGACAGAGAGGTCCGCGCGGCGTCCCACCCAGAGTCTGATTCAAGACTGCACGCTTGTTACATGCCTCTATTTATTAGCTTCTGTGTAGCGTTGCTGACCTGGTTGACATCAGGGAGCAGCTCGAGGCCCACTGGACCCTTGTTCACAGTTCTTCTGTCCCCTGCAGTAACTGTCACCCGCCGCACCCCCCCACCAGCCTGCCCTGCTGTGGCACTGGGCCTCTACATCTGAGTCATCTGTTTGTCAAAGGTGCATCTCTGCACTGCCGGAGGGGAGCTGAAAGGCAGGGATGCCGCTCCCTCCCTCCTTGCTGGGATGTTTCTCTTGTTTTAGGTGCCAAGGTGCCGCCTCCCTCTGCAGGTGTGTTAAAGCTTGGGTGTAAGCCCTTCGGGCTGGCGAGACCGTGTGGGGTGGGGCCGTGGACTCCGTCTGGCCTAAGGGCCAGCCAGGCCGGAGCACAGGCATTGGGATTTAGGCTGCTCCAAAGCAAACGGGTGACACCAGCCCTCTCTTCCCTGCTCGTACCGGGATCTCCTGGGGCAGCAAGGGCTAATCAGCACCATGTAGCCAGCTCCATATGCCAAACTACTCGTTCTCATGGTTCAGCCAGAGACTAGCTGTGCACAGCTCACCCAAGCCGCTGACAGAAAACTGGGTTGGAGAGGCGTGAGTGCTTGTCTGTCCCAAGAATCAGTGCCCCGCAGCCAGGGGTGTCAGTGCCAGGCCCACCCAACAGAGGGCACTGTGGCCGCTCTGTGGGGACGGCCCCTGCTGACCTTGGACTTCCTGTGGAACCACACCGTGCCTCAACTTGAACATTCATCCAACTACGAGGAGCGAAGAACTTGTCTCACTCTTCACTTTGTCTAAAAGCTGCCGTCCGTCGTTGGGAACCTAGATGTGCTGCTGCCACCACTGCAGCTCTGACTTCCCCGCGTCCTGCTTCCCGGGAAGGCGGTCCCCGTGTGTATTCTGCTTTCCTGGAGCGAGGGAGGAGAGTGTTCTCCATGCCGTCCTCAAATGCCCGTCTCCCAGGAAACATCGGACTGGAGACAGGACCTTCCTTGCCTACTCGGTCCCCAGCCCGCAAGCCCAGCAGAGGCGCCTCTGTCCCCTTTGCTCCACTCGCCCCAGAACAGGAAAGCAGTTTCCAGGGGCCGCAGCCATGGCGCTGCGCTTCCAGGGGCCTCACCTAGCAGAAACGCCAGCTTCCCTCGGCCCCTTGCTGCTGCCCGGTCCCGGTCACCTTGACACCGCTGCGTCTGTCCAAAGCACATGCTGCTGCCGCAGTCACTTTCAGCGGGGCCGGAGACTGCGGAGAGGCCTCGGGAGTCCACCAGCCAGCCCGACGTCCCCCGCGCCCACCCTGCTTCAGCAGTGTTACGACTTCAGGTTCTCAGACGGCACTTTTCCTTCTCGAAGCTCCCAGGTTGTAACCACTCGTTGAACTTTAGTGCCCTGGGGAATCGCTGCATGAGTTTTCCATCTCTGGAAACGCGTGCAGCTCGGGCCAGGTTTCCCTCCCAAGAAGTAAGTTTTTCCCACAAAGGAGGGAAGCAGCTAGTCCGTTGGAGGGACCCCAGACACAAGGCGGAGTGCAGTGGGACCCACAGTGGCACCCCTGGGCACCCGGCAGAAGCCGCTCCCGAGCCCCAGCCTGAGGCCCACCGGCAGCTCCACATAAGATCCTAACCCTGCGCAGTCCATCCCTTCGGGCCTGTGCCCCCAGCAGCCTCCCCAAGCTGCTTTCGACCAGCAGTGGAAGGAGAGTTGGATAGAAAGGGTCGGGCCCGGCAGCGCAGCTCAGTGGAAGCGTGTGTGCTTAGCATGTGCCAGGCTCTGGGTTCCAGCCCAACGCTGAACACGAGAAAGGTGGTAACGTCTGAACATCTGACCCACAAAGGAGAACGGTCCATTTTATGCGCAATAAAATTTTTAAAAGAAATACAGTGTGTTTCTTCAGTCCGTTTTTCCGTGCCCGGTCGTGAGCCGGGCCCCAGGTTTGTAAATAGGCAGTGTCCACGGCAGTTGTAGGTCTGGCAGGTGTGTGGATGTACGCAAGGTGGTTTGAAGTTTGCTTTCTTCTCAGTCTTCCGTATTGTCCTGACCTGGCCCTCGTCTGCTGTCATTTGAGAAACTGCCGAGGCCCCCATTTGGCAAGAAGCTGCCCTTTGGTGCCAAGCCCCCGCGTGTGGCCTCTGGTCGGGAAGCATGTCTTTGACATAGAGATTCAGCACACTAGAGCGATCTGGGGTCCTGGCCCACCTCCTTCCAGCTGGCCAGGGAGCCCAGCGGCGAGGGGCCTGCAGCTTCCAGGCCCAGGGTGTTCAGATGGTTCAGTGTCCCCAAGCTTGTTCGGTGCATAGGGCCCTGGAGCACAGATCTCACCCGTCAGGAGCGGGGAGGCATCGCCAAGAGACTGAAGGGACGAGTCCTGGCCAGCTCTTCTCCCTTTGCTGCAGGCCACTTCCCAGGAACCTTCCAGGATCCTCCCTAGTCATGGCACACTGACCTCTCAGGCACCGGGAGCATCTCAGGCTTCGAACTTCGAGAAGTAAGGAAGCAGCAGAAGGAACGCCAACAGCAGGAGCCTGGAGCCAGCTGAAGTCCCTGCTGCACGAGCCAGAGCCAGAGCCTGCTGGCCATGTTACAGCTGCTCCAGAAAGGACACCTGCTGAGGGCCAGTGTGGGCGCACGAGGCCAGAGAGAAGGGGTAAAATCATTCGACCAGCGCAGAAGGAATACGCCAGGGCTGTAGTCCCAAAAGAAAATGTGGATCCTGGCTTCTGCAGGGAAAGGGTGGGGCTTGGAGGCAGGTACGGTGGTATACCACTGTAGTCCCAGCTACTCAGGAGGCTGAAGCAGGAGGGTGGCAAGCTCAAGACCACTGTGGGCAACTTAGACCTTGTTTCAAAAAATGAAAAGGGCTGTGGGTAGAGCTCAGTGGTAGAGCATCCCTGAGTCCAACCCCCAGAACCTACCCCCAAAATAAATTAAATTTAAGAAGTGAGGCTTGGAAGTAACCTGGACACAATTTGACCACAGTTCACAGCAAACCCCAGGTGGCAGGAAGTGGTGATTGTTGTTTTGGGCAGGCCGCCAGAAAGGCAGGCTTGGAAGCCTCCTCTTCCTCTCAAGAAATCACTGTGACTCATGGCTCAAGACCTTGAACCCGAGTCCTTCCAGAGGCCCTTCTTGAGCATGACTTTCAGAAGTGGAGAGGGAAGCAGGAATGGCGGCGCACGCCTGTCATCCCAGTACTCTGGGAGGCTGAGGCAAGAGGATTGCAAGTTCAAGTCCAGCCTGGGCCACTTGGACACTGAGTGAGATCCTGTGTCAAAGTAAAACGAGGCGGGGATGTAGCTCAGTGCAAAGACCTTGAGTTCGGTCCCTAACACTACCAGAAAGAAAAAGAAAAGAAAAATGGGGCAAGAGAGAGAAAAAAAATGTGCTGTCACTTCCTGAGCCGGCCAGGCGGGCCCACTTAGCAGCACCCTCATTTGTGTTGCCTGCCCTGATGATTCCCCGCCCCCATGAGGGAGGAAGCCACCCTCTTGGGTGAGCAGTGCTACCCAAACGGCACCCTGGCTGGAGCCTCACTGCGGTGGTGAGGCAGGAGCCCTTCTGGTTATCCTGCCCTGCAGCCCGGTGCTGCTGAGCCTCACCTGCCGGCACTGCTTCGCCACCCCAGTGTCCCCTGCCCTGTCTTTTTGCAGCTGGGGTGTCAATGGGAAGTTGGAGCCCCAGCTTCTGTACATAGGTATGTGCGCCACTGCCTCTGCCTAAGAGGCCGCCTGTTAGGCACAGCAGCGTGAGGGAGGACTTTCCCCAGGACACGCTTGCACACTTACCACCCTTCTGTGGGCCCACAGCCTTTCTTAACCAGGGCGTCAGCATTCTCAAATGAGAATGTCTTTGGACCATGGCGCGCCAGTCATGGAAGGGGTGGAGGCCCAGGGCTGGGCAGGATCAGAACAGAAGCTCTCCCTATAGAGTAAACAGCCTGGATCCAGACCTAGGGGAAGGTCTTTTCTAAGTAATCAGGATGTGAAAATGAGGACAAAGTCACTGCCCTCCTCACCTGCCTAAGAGACGGTGGAGGTCAGCTTAAGGTAAGCATTCAGGGGCTGGGGATTTAGCTCAGCGGCACAGCGCCTGCCTGGCAAGCACAAGGTCATGAGTTCGATTCCCGGTACCGGGAAGAAAAAAAAAAAGTAAGCATTCAGACAGGACCACCCCAGGCATCTCACTTAATTAACCAGTCAGTGCCTTGGTCTCCCCACAGCGGTGGGGCTGTCACCAACCATGGTACCCATGGGAGGGCAGTGCCTCAAAGTATTCACCTTGGAGAAGAGGCCATAAACCCCAAGGACCAAGAGGCAGGTGTCCCTGCAGCCCAAGGTCGTTTCCTAGCCATCTGGTGACCCAACAAACTTGTGTATTTATTTTAATTATTTTAAATGCTAGACCAGATCCGTTCGTGCTCACAAACTTAACAGATACAGGTCACTGTAGGTAGACAGCGTTTCCAGAACATTCAGACCGGCCCCCTCTGGCTCCAGTACTACCAAGCCAGCTCCAGCGGAACCGCTCTCCCCAGTGGTCCCCGGAGATAGGTCACGGCTCCCTGTCCCCCATGAAACCATTGTCCAGGACAAGGAGTCGTCCGGGTGAGGGTGAGGGTGCGGAGCCAGAGCCAAAAGTTGCCTGGGCCAGCAGACAAGGAGGGAGCGTGGTCCTTGGGAAAGAAGAAAAACGACCAGCGGCAGCTGACAGCTCCCTCCCCAGCAGCACTTGGTCTTTTTTTTATTCGTGCGTGCGTGTTTTACTGGGAATTGAACCCAGGGCCTTTAAGGTTTTGAGACAGAGTCTTACTAAGTCACTAAAGCTGCCTAGCAGGACTCAAACTTTTGACCTGCCTCACCCCTCTAAGTGCTGGAGTTACAGGCTGACGCCATCATATACAGCTTCACTTAACTCTTTCAGAAGTGCTTTGGAAGAATTAAATGCCTTTTTTAAATACCTGCAGTGCCAGGTGTAGTGGTGGGTGCATGAATCTCAACACTCTGAGAGGCTGAGGTAGGATAATAGTAAGTTCGAGCCCAGCCTGGGCAATTTAGACTCTGTCTCAAAATTTAAAAGGGCTGGGAATGTAGCTCAGTGTAAAGGCCTTGGGTTCAATCCCGTTTCCCCCACCTCAAAAGTCACCAAGGCCAGAGGCTCACCTCACAGCCTTGTGCTAGGAACCAAGAAGGCTTCTGGCCCAGTCCTGCAGATTTTCAGCCTCCATCAGGCTGTTTGGGTCCGGGGGTGTGGGCCTGAGGACCCCTCCTCCAGGACACATTGCTGAGTAATCGTAGCTGAGTCCCTCAGCGCCTCCCTGGGAACAAGCAGCAGAAGAGACCACGCCGTCTCTCCCTCCCCTGGTCACTCAGCCACCTCAGCAAGTAGGGATGGGCTCAGGGCTTGGCAGAGCCCCAACTCCTGAGGGACCAACCCCAGAGGATGTCTCTGTCCAGGAAGCCCCTTGGCAGGCCCTGGAAGGTGTGGGCGGCAGCCCCGAGCCCTGCGGAATTCTCCTGTGGAAAGATTCTTTGAAGAGGCATTAGGAGCAGTTTGGCGCCTGAGAAGAATGGGTGGAGGGGAAACCCACGCTGCGATGACTGCAGAGGTTTAAAGTAGTTCCTTGTCTGCTACTGGAACGCTACTTCCCGGAAGCAGCACCTCCCCCAGGGCCCAGCTGGCCAGCCCTGTTCCCGACCGGGCAGCTGTCCTGTGGGGCCGGGAGGGACGCGAAGGAAGCGGTCCCTGCCGCTGTTGGCAGGGCGAGGCTCAGCCCATCACCCTCTCGCTGTGGCCAGCAAGCGCAGTGAAGCCGGCCATGTTTATCCTTCTGTAGAAGAGGCTCGTTTCCCCCTTCGACAGTGACTCACACCGTCAGCGTGTGACCCGAAAGCCAAGGGCTGCAGGGACACCTCCTCCTCGCGGCCCGGCTGGGAGCCACCTGCAGCCGAGCCCAGCGGCTGCAGCCAGGTTGCATGCGGTGGGGAGCGCTGTCCCCCTGTGCCTCTCCCGCCTCCCTCCATGTCTATTTTGGTGACAGGAGTGTCACTGCTAGCTTGTAAGAATTCCCTTTCCTTCATCTGCTTGGCATTTACTGTATCACAGCAGAAACGCGCAGACAGAAGAGTTGTCTCCTCCAGAATTTCCACGAGCATTTCTTACTGCCTTTCACCTCCGATCGAGGGAGGTTTTGCGGCAGCGCAGCTAAGGGTGGCCTGGGTGCAGGGTGGGGAGGGCACCCCCGATGCTGGGAGGGATGGGACGGGGTCTGGAGGACCATAAAGCTCAGTGTGGACCACATGCTCGGCTTTCGTCAGGCCCTGGGCTTTATTCCCAGAGCGCAAGCGCAAAGACCCCTGAGCTCAGGACCCGGCGGCGTCTCCGCACACGACCTGCCTGGCTGCCCCCGACCCGGGGAAGCTGCGCTTTCCTGCTCCCGCCAGATCAAGACTGGGAGAAGGGGGGAGGAGAGAACAGACCGGGGTCCACCCCGCCCCTCCTTCATTCCTCCTGGTCGCCTGTGACCCCAGCAGCAGTAGGGGGCGGCACTTGCAGGCACAGAAGGTAACCCCGTGGGTCACGGCAGGGCGGGGAAGGGGACGTCAGTGCCGAGAACAACCGGGGCACAGCCTGGGGGGCAAAGGGAAGGGAGTCGGGCGTGAGCACAAACCCCACTGGGGCTGGAAGGCAAGGAGGGGGACAGGAGCTGGGGTGTGGCTCAGGCAGAGGGCCTGGCTAGTGTGCATGAGCCCCTGGGTCCCCCCGGCACCGTAAGGCAGGAGTGGAGTGGACAGCACCACTCCTGTCGTCTTCCTCTTCTGGCCCCTCCAAAACCCCCACTGTGGGGCTGTCTGAATCTCTCCCCGAACCCCAAGCCCTGAC